CAGAATGATTTTACACTGAAAGGGTTCAGGATGTCAGGTTACTAGAGAAAACGATCATTTGGACCCAGATCTTTCCCCCCGATCATAACTATTGTGCATCTAGCATTTAGCATTTTTGATTTGTTTTAGCTGTTCTCAATGAAATTTAGTCTCAGATCGGCCAGAACTGTTGGTAAATTTTGTTGTTTTGTTCGTGCTGTCAAGGGAATGTGTATTTTCTGCACACTGTATGCTCCATAATTTTGCTTGATTAATGTATTCATGCACTGTTTACGCATTTTCCGAATAGAAAATTATTATGGATTTGGTCAGCTGGTCCATCAATGCAATTAATAAATTTTTTTCCACTAGACGACAGGGTGCTGGAGAGCCGTCATGCCCTGAATGAACCCACGCAGCTGGGTATGTCATTGATTCCTGAGGGGAGTGGAAGATGATGTGCCTATCTGTCTATCTGTATAGGACGTAGAAGATTATTGGATTTATGATAACAGGGTTTCTGCCTTTTGGAATCGTCGGATACCTAGGATATTGACAAATTAGGAAGACAACGACAGCAGTTTAGGTCATGGTAAAGCTGCCAGTGAAAGATTAATTTGTGCCTCGAGCTCTCAGACTCATATACTTAAGAAGCTCAACTGCAAGCAAGACGCGATATATGAGAATAGTAGGCCATTTGTGACTCCTGGAACTTGCCGGCATGAAGGATTTGATCTTGGAGAAAGCTAATTGAGCACGGACCAGGCAGAATGTCCACAAATCTGGCTGTTTCTCCATTGAGTGTACCAGCAGATCTTGAAGGCAGAGAGAAATCAGAGTCTGGTGGCCCAAACAATCGTTGTTTATCTGAATTTGGCCTCCCTGCTGGCTTTGGACAGGCCAACTTATCTCAAATTGCTCCTGGAGGATACATAAACTAGAAGCTTCTGCTTCAGGCAGAAAAAATGAAAATAATCTACAACAAGGAAAACTCTCCCTTTTTACTGAACTAAAAGCTGCAGAACAACTGACAGAGCTATAAATCTAGATCTACTGAAGAGCTGGATTGTCTGAACGTCAGTCAGTAGCTACAAAACGTCAGCTGCAGGGTACAGAGTGCCAACGTTAAAACAAGGCCCTGCTGAGGCCCATGAGAATTAATCTACTGCAACAATAAACACGGATAACTCATATTGTTGCTCCAACAAACAATAAACTTAGACAGCTTAGGACCAGAGTGTTTAAACAAAACCTCCAAACATCATGTCTCTGTTGTTATGGCTGATTAGTCGTGCTGACCATCTTGATTTGCAGTGACTTTAAAAGCTAATCATTTGTCGATGTATATCCAATTATTACTTTCTGAGAGCTTTACTAAAATCCATTGATTAGTTCATGATGTATTTTGCTAACAAACAGATAAATGAACACATGCATGCAGAGGCACACGGCTGCCTGCCTTTAGAAGCAGCAGGTGATAAAAAGGGAGTGATTTCCTTCCATCTGCCTCCAGGTAAAACATGAATTGCCTCTAATTGTTTTATTGATGATGTAACTTCAGTGGAAATTGAGGATTTGACATGCTGATGGAATCATTATTATGAGGTAATCTAACTTTAATTCCTCTGGGCTCAAAGTTGACAATCGCTGCCAGAACTCTGAGCCCGGAGGTGAAGATTAAACGAAGTGTTCTTGTTAACCTGTCAGTGCAGGATGCACATTTGAAGAAGTATCTTTCTGTGCAGCAAGACCTGCTGATCTATTGATCTGTGTTCTGTCGTTTAAGGCTGGATAAGTGGTCGTGTTTTCTCATCAAATCACTGAAATGACTACCAACCTAACCAACTTTAATTTGTGTGCAACATTTTAGACAGCAAGTGCAGACCAATGTACTTTACAGGATTAAAGGAATTAAAACAGTAAAGTCTCTCAACCCCACCTTTAACTCTATTCTAACCAGATATGGATAAAATTAATCTAATTTATGTTTTGCATGTTCATGGTGGGATATAACAGTTTCTTAAATTATTTCTGTTTTGTAAGGAGGTGTATTGTAAACATTATTTCATGCTCACAATGACTGTATGTGGTTTAATTTGATGTATCCTGAAGCATTAAATTTCTCATTATTTATTTCAGATTAAAGATAATATTTTTGATTGAACCAGCAAGCTAAGAGCCAAAACCAAAGAGGATCAGTGTTTTGTTTTGTTTTTTTTCATTTAGCCTTTATTTATCCAGGTTAGTCTCATTGAGCCACGAGAACTCATTTTCAAGAGAGACCTGTTTAGGGAGCACATGGTGGGGTTAAGGACCTTGCTCATGGGCCCAGAGTGGGGCGAATGAGGGTGGGGGCGTGTGGGTGTTTCATCTACCCCACCCACAATTTTGATGTTGTCGGGGCCGGGGCGTGAACCGGCGATCTTCGGATCACAAGCCCACCTCTCTAACCTCTGCGCCACCACTCCCCAAAGAGGATCAGTGTTGTCTTACTTAACTTAGTTAACTTACTTAACTGGGTCTTTTTTTGTTTGTTTGTTTTGTTTTTTGTCGTTAGGTTAGAAGTTGTATTTTTCAACTTTTATTATACTGCCAATTATGCACTGTTAGTTGTTTTTTAGCAGAAATATCATGACATTCCTGCAGGAAGTGTCCCATACTGTACCAGAAGTGCTACAACTAACTTCTATTCATGCTTTGAAAAAAAAACCCAAAAAAAAACATCAGATTCAATGTAAGAAATTATGTGATGGAAATTATTGGTAATGAAAATATTAAGAAAATTGTGTTTGCATGAATGACTATGAAATATTTTGGACTAAGGTTGCTTTAAATGTTGCAGAAGTGTCTTTATTTATTTAACTTTTTTATTTTTTACTTGGCAGTAGGAACTCCAGTCTGGGTATGACGTCCCAGTTGCAACTTGGATAACCAGTGCTCAGTGACCAGTTTAGCTATTAGCACTACACGCTAATATCAATGCATTGTTTCTGCATTCTGTGTGTATAAACATCCTTCCATCCATCCATTCATTATCTTTTGCCCGATTCTTCCTTTTCAGGTCACGGGGGTCACTGGTGCCCATATCCAGCCATCACTGTGTGAGTGGCAGGGGACACCCTGGACAGTCCACAAGTCAATCACAGAGACACAGAGACAACCAACCATTCACTCTTTCACACACCTAGGGACAATTTAGAGTTACCAATCAGACTAACAGCTGTTAATCCTCTTAATAGAGGTTGAACAGAACTGCGTGTAACTGGAGATGCAAACTAGAGGATTACATTTTTTTTCGGGAGTCCCAGGGGTCACTGGATTCCCGCGGGACGGGAGTCAACTTTATTATTACTCATTTCATTGGGATGGGATGGGATGGAACCGGATGAAAAGTTAATGGGAGCAGACTGGAGTGGGAATCAACCAAAAGGACAAAAAATAAATAAATGCCTTTTTTTTACCACATATGAACTGTTCCTGTTGCCATATATTTTGAAATCTATCTTCAGAACACAAAGTAATATAAAAAGGAATGGGTAGAAGATTGACAAATTGAGAAGAAAAAAAATCTCAATTTGTACGCATCCTTTATGATAGTCTATTGTTGTCTTGTTGTTCCACTGTTGTCATCACTCTTTGTTAAAATCAGGTCTCTCTTGTAAATGAATCCCCGAGGCTCAATGGGATTAACCTGTCTAAATAAAGGGTGAATGAAAAAATCAAATCAAAATCAGCGTATTTCTTAAAAACTAAATGAAGAAAAAAATGGGAGTGGTACAGGAGCGGGAGCCATGTTACTGGGAGTAAGACGGGACAGGAATTTATTTATTTATTTTTTACTCTGACCTGGGATTGGGACGGGACAGGAGTGAAAATCCACTCCCATGTCATCCTCTATTGCAAACTGACACAAGGTCAAATAAATTTGTTTGTTAATGCAGTTGTTGTGATTTTTTGTGCACAAGTCATTGAAACTGGAAGTCAGAATTATGGCGTTGGAAAAACTCCAATTGCCTTTTTATTGTCATTGAACTTGGAAATTTCTACTTCCATGTACAAAAGGATTTGAAGACATTTGCCCCTTTTGCACTTATAGGCTCAACATAAGTTCTGATTGAAATGAAAGTCTATTTCAATCAATAGAGGAGTTCAAAAAATTATCTATGTCGGGAAAAATTAATTGTTTTATATAAAGAGGCCAACAACCAAATATCTGAATTGTTTTAATACAGTATGTTGTCAGAACATACAGTATGTTTATGGGACTAATAAAATGCATTTTATTATTATTTTCTATGAAAGCTTTAGTTTTGGAGTGGCTACTCTGAGAAGTCATTAACTAGCCTTTGAAAAGTTTAGTTTTCTAGTAATGAGAGGTGTCGTGTCTGTCTGGTTCTTTAATACAGTAAAAGTTTCTGAGTGACAACAAAGAAACAAGGACCATCATGGCACGGCTCTGCCACCATGAGGAAATCGAAGCAAACACACGAGCATGATGTTCCAGATTATCTTGAAAAACAAAAAAAAACAAATAATGAGTGAAGCAGTCTTTTATTTTTTTGTTCTCGGATTCATTTTATTCAGCTTTATCTCATATTTGCTGGGACATACACCAGTCTTGTCACCGAGACGACTTGTACAAAATAAATCTGGTCTCAAGATGTTTTTGGTTAAAACGGCTTCTGGAGGCAAAACTAAGAGAAAACAATTAAAAAAAAAAAAAACAGTAAAAAGAGCAAGTTAATAACTGATCTGATCAAAGTGTAACTGTAAACAAATAAATTCACACTTTTTTTTTTTTAATGTTTGCCCAGTGATCAGATTCAGTCAATGATTTACTCTTCTTCATTACATCAGCTCTCAAATACAAAAACCTGAAAACGTGCAGCTGAGGGACCTTGGTGAACAGGCTGCGATGCACAAAGATGACAACATAGTTACAGATGTTCAAACATTTTCCTTGCTTAGTTTTAACGCCCCATTAAATCTTGGGTTTTCCTTTTGCTTATTTTTTTTATTTATTTTTTTTGTGGATGTAAGTGCAGATAGAAGAAAGGACATTTGTCATGTTAATTGACTTGAACCTTCAACAAAACATCTGCTCTCTCTTGAACAAAACATAGAAAGTTGCCATTTTTGGAAGTGATTATTTTTGAATCGTTCAGCCTTTATTTTGAACATTTTGACAGCATTGCATAGCACCATGTAAGGGCACAGATTTAGCCTAATTTCAAGAGTTTCTGAAGGGAAAGAAGGATGGCTCTCCTTTGTCTGACTTTAATAAAATCTCCTGGAACTGGTTGATGTGACTGTTGACTTGGTGATGGCACTACTGCCATAACCACCACTGCTGCCACTCATACCAAATCCACTGCTGCCACTCATACCAAATCCACTGCTGCCACCCATACCAAATCCACTGGACAGTCCTGGAACAGAAGACAAATGGAAGGTTATAACTTGTTTTCATCCTCCTGTGTTGGCACATTGGTTTATGTGCCACATTCAATCATGATCTAGAAGACCAGACACTTACCACCTCCTGCAGAGGACTGCTGCACATGGATGATGGCTTTGGAGCCACCATTGTTCAGTCTAGGAGTTGAAAAATTGAGAGTTAATACTTCAAAACATAAGGCTCAAGCTTCATCTGTAAAGCAGTAAATCATTTGGTTTCACCCACCTGCTCTCCTCTCCCTCCAGCAGTTTTCTGTAAGTGGCAATCTCAATGTCCAGGGCGAGCTTGATGTTCATCAGGTCCTGGTATTCGCGCACTTGGCGGGCCATTTCTGTCTTGGCTTTCTGGAGAGCGTCCTCCAGGTCTTTGATGCGGAGCTTGGCGTCCTTCACCGCCAGCTCGCCGCGCTCCTCAGCCTCTGCGATCTGAGCCTCAAGGTTGGCCCTCTATGAGAAAGGATGTCACATTGACTGAATGACCCCACACGAACAGCGCAGTCTCATCGGGTTAAAGGTCCTGAAATTTACCTGTGCCTTGACTGCCTCGATCTCGTTCTGAAGCCGAGAGATCATGCGGTTTAGGTCAGCAATCTCAGCCTTTGTTGAGCGCAGGTCTGTGTCATACTGTCCTGCAGAGCTCTGCATCTCATCAAACTGTTAATATAAACCAGATGCGTAATAAGAACCAAGATCTAGAAATAAAGGCAGTTATGGCACCATTACATGGTGATGCAGCTTTGATTTTACTTACCTTCTGTTTGTACCAGCTTTCTGCCTCAGCCTTGCTGCGGGCGGCAATGTCCTCATACTGAGCACGCACTTCAGCCACAATAGAGTCCATGTCAAGGTCACGGCTGTTGTCCATCTCCACGATGACAGAGGTGTCCTTAATCTGACCCTGCAGCTCACGCAGCTCCTACAGAACCAATGGTTGAACCTCTTTAGCTCATTTTTACAGTCTGGGTGAACATCAGCAGTAATTTAGACTGTGAAAACAGTTTGGCTTATAAGGTCTACATACAGCTTCATACACAGCCCTGAGGAAGTTGATCTCATCCTGTAGAGCATCAACTTTAGCCTCCAGTTCCACCTTGTTCATGTAGGCAGCATCGACATCCTGGAAACCAAATGTACAGAGTTTTTTTTGGTTTTTTTTTACCTTGTCATTTTAAAATACAAATATAAGTGTTTAAAGAGCTATATTAGTAATTACCCACCTTCTTCAAGATCACAAAGTCATTCTCAGCAGCTGCGCGATTGTTGATTTCATCCTCATACCTATTGGAAGACAAAGTTATACATAAGCGTGTCGCCATTTCTTAGGATATAAGTGAACAGGTTGGATTGCAGATGCTGTTTGCATCGTTTCTGTAGACACTCACTTCTTCTTGAAGTCCTCCACCAGGTTCTGCTGGTTCCTCAGCTCTCCCTCCAGCTTCATCTTCTCATTGCCAAGCCCGTCGAGTTGTCTGCGCAGGTTGGCAATGTAGGCCTCAAACATGGAGTCGATGTTTGAGCGGGTGGTGGTCTGTTCCTGCAGGAGGCTCCATTTGGTCTCCAGCATCTTGTTCTGCTGCTCCAGAAAACGGACCTGTGGAGGAAAAGAAGGAACAAATGTCAAATCTTTTTGTTTTTTTTTCAAATAATAATTTATAGTCTTGTATAATCAGCTGACTTTCAATAAGAGTTTGATTTAGTGCATTAATAAAAGTAGAAGCCTTTAAAAATGGGAGGAGTTTAGATAAAAAAAGGGCGTGTCAGTTCTGGTATCTGGTTTAATGATGCCCCACCTTAGCTGTATGACTGAGTATGAGTACCTAAAATGCCACACCCTTTTTACACCACCATCTTTTAAAATTCAAAGTTGTGGATCTTTTCTGTTATACATATAAAGAGAGAGGTTTCCATACAAAATGGTCCAGTCAGTCATCACCATCTTGTTAATCTAGTTAAGGTGTTTCACTTATTGTTGCTCCTGCTGAGCTTTGACTCATCCGGTCTGCTCTGCTGAGCTACCAAAGTCTCCCAGCCATAAAATAATTTAAAAAACTAGGTGTGGCAGATAAACCGCAGAGAACAAAGCACTACAGTACTTTGAACATGAACACTTTCCTTTGTGTCCGAAAGTTCACTTGTAGAACTTAGTGTTGGAAAAAACAAAAGTCACAAGATAACTTTCGTGGATGCAATTTGGGGTTAAGATCCAAATGAAGTGAAAGCTGATTTACAACTTTGTACTTAACATTCATGTTGCCCTTAGCGATCAGGTGATAGGTGCAATGTGCAAATGTCAGACTTTGGACCGTGCGGTCGGAGGGCGGATGCATCCCTGTTCTGCCTGCCAGTGTGCAGCAATATAATCGCCACCCATGTTGATTTAGTGGGCAGAGAGGCTCTCGTCAAGTCAAACACGGCTTTAAGCCTAATGTCATATATTTTGGATGAACTGCAAGAGGAAGCTCAAAACTGTCATGGTGGCAGACTAACTTGATGTCTTTGTGAGCTCTTCTAGTGAATCATTGGTGAAAATACCCCAGAGACATAATTCCCAACATTCCTTGCTCTGCAGTTTTGTCAGCGCACAACCCACATTTCTACGTACTGACCAGTTTTATTTATTTTTTACTCAAATCATATCATTAGTGTCTCTTAAAGTTCAACTGCATTTGTTTAAAATAAATCAGGCCTGCAGTACATGCACAGAAACTGTGTGACAGACACCAACCTTGTCGATGAAGGAGGCGAAGCGGTTGTTCAGGGACTTGATCTGCTCCTTCTCCTGGGTGCGGACGGCCTGGATGCTGGGGTCGATCTCCAGGTTCAAAGGATCCAGAATGCTCTTATTGAATTGGACAGGTGTAATTGTTTGTGAAACGATAGCTTGGTGTCCGCCTGAACCATAAGCGCCGAAGCCACTGCCGAAGCCAGAACCAACATTGTAGCTTGTTGACTTTGAGATGACGGAAGGGCTGCCGAAGCCATAGTTAGACCCGCTGGTCCTGCTGAAAGAGGTGTAAGATGCAGACCTTCTGCTGGACGGCCCTGAGACTGACATGGCTTTCCTCATCGTGGCTGTGTTGAAGATTGTTCGCTGGCTGAGCAAAAGAAAGCTGAAGATGCACAGGCTTCAAAAGGAGAGCCAAGTCCCTCTGAGTGACGGACTTCCAGCTCCGTCTGCTTTTATATTGTACCAGATGAGGGCTGGAGGGGAGGACCATCTTCAGCCACCTCAACCTGTGTTCTCGCTTTAGCCGTCAAGCCACCCCTCCACTTCCACACCTACAGGTCCAAATGACAGAAGCCGCTCGTCCTGTTAAACAGGTAGAGGAGGGGTAAGATGGGACACGCCCTGCAGTGGGCTTTAAAGAACTTCTATGTGTTAAAAGTGGCCTCCCTTTAGATGCTGAGGTATGTTTTGATGAGATAGAAAATACTTCACAATAAACTTGTATAAACAGAACTTCTACAGTACCAAGAGAAAAACTAAATGCTTACTGGAAAAATGATTTGCATCCTTTCTAAAGCAGCACAAAATGATTCTGGCTCAGCTTTATGAAACATTCAGCTTCCAACAGAGGAGCAGTCGCAGACATGAGTTATTAGTCTACGTGGTCTGCACACAGGCCCGTGATGGGAACATGCTCGACGCTCCTTACACACTCATCAAGTTTACTTTGTGTCGTACTGTTTCAAGGTTGCAGCAGCTTTGTTGCTTTTCCATGGAGATGGTAGCTCACGCTCCAAAACCTCTGAGCATTTTGTGCCAAAAAGCCAAGCCTGGTGTAAACAAAAGACTAAACTACAAGAATGAAGAGATATTTCAGGTTTATCCAACCAAATGCCCGAGGGAGGGTGACCTCATTAAATTCTTGTTGCAACAGAGAGCTAAACAAGTCCTTAATGCTGGTAAATAAAAAAGTTTTATGCTTCAGGCTTTTTAAGCTTACAGTGCAATGATTTTTTGTGAAACTATCTCTTCACATTAATGAGTGCTGGGCATTAAAGAATTAAAGATGGTATCTGCAGCTGAAACAATCCACCACACCCACTCCTTCCATTCTGAAGCGCGTTTGTTTCGTCTCTCTGCACTTTTTTTTTAGGGGTGAGGCCTGCAATTGTTGGCATTCTTACCAAACTTTTCACATGAACTTGCCTTTAATTTCTACTATGGTGTGAAAATTTACCCTCAAGCCCACATTCTTCCTGTCTGAAAGCTATTTAGGAAAAAGAAAGATCTTCTCACGTTTCGTTTGAAGTTTGAACGAACGTGCTTCATTTCCTAACTTTTGATTTGTCAATGTTAAAAACGTAACTATCTGGATGTTCCTGCTTTTTTTTTTTCAGGCTGTGCCACATCATGGTCTGTGTTCATACTTTACACCGCATGATGCCTATAGATAAACTGCACTCCTGATGAAAGACTTGCATCCATGAAGTTCAGAATATGGAGATTTCGGTAAAACAGCGAATGCAGATTTCCAAACAAATGCCTGCTGCAGGTCAGTGAAGACAAAAGAATAAAAACAAGTTACATCCACTGCAGCGCTGTCTGTTCTTGTCCAAAATGCATCATCACTCATGGCTGTCATCACTTCAGAGCTCAAGCCTGGTCAAGTCAGGCTACTGGAAACAGGTAAACACGATACAGCTGATAAACTAGGGCCCTGCAAATGGAAGTTCATGGTTTTTGTAAAAACTGAGTAAAAACTTTAAAATGCACTGAAGTGGGCCAGTAATTGTGGTGGAGAGAAGCTTAATGCTGCGTTTGAAATGTGTTTGTTAGGCTGGGGGTGCATGACTGAACACACTTGAACGCTTCAAGAAAAAGGGTTTGCACGTACACCCAAACAGTGTCAAGAAGACAAAAAGTGTGGTTTGTAAAAATGTACGCAAGGAGGGAAACACAAACTGTTTATTATTTTTATTTTATTTTTAATTGGAGAAATCCATTCAGGAGACGAGGATGTTATAGAAATTTAAAAATCTAAAGTGTGTCGTCCCTTTTCTTTATTTTATTATTTTTGTGGATTTAATGTAAAGGGAGTGAATAGTTTGAGCTCTTCCTCATACCTGACACTCGCGCTCTATCTTATCAGAAGAAACTATGTTTGCAAATTAAATCTAAACATAAATGAAAGACATATTTCTGAAGATATACTTTGACAAACCATCACTAATCAGATCAGACTTACTGCCTAATGTAATTTATTAAATGTTGTTTGGGCTGCATTCATGACTAATACAACAGAATGCACCGCATGGCTGGATGCAGGTAACAATACGTAAAATATTCTGAAATGGAGGATTTTTTTCAGAAAAAATAGATCTATTTAAGATCAGATCTTGAACTGATCTGAGCTACTTCGCAGACTTTCCTTTCATACCTGTGTAGTATGTGTAAACTGGGTGTGGACCCTTTACAATGCCTAAGGTGTGGTAGGCTATCCGTCTTTCAGCTGAACACTTCAATGAGTAGCCATGCTCAAAATGCATTAACAAGGACGACATATTGCAGCAGAAAGACTACATTCATCATCGATCTGTTTAGGTGTAAATGAAGACTGTTCTCTGTATGAATTATAAATATGTAAAGCAGTTCTCTCGTATTTATTCACTGAGTAGAGCTGTGTGTGATATGCCATCTGAGACCACACACCTGATAATCCTTTCCTGCTCGTGTTACAGCAACAAAGGTTTGATTCAGGCCTACTAAGTTATTTCAAAGTCAGGTCAGGTTGAGACGTACAGGTGTGGCAAATATGTGGCATTAAGTATTTATTGCAGTCTACCGCAGGAGAGCACACAACTGATAACTCATGTGAGAACACTCTGAAGTAGCTTTTACTGTGCTATATTTGACATTTTAAATGAGTTAGTCTTATAATTCAAGCAGGGTTGAACAAACTTAAATACACACACCAGATGAGAGTTATACATTTTCAAACCTGAACATACTCGTCTTTTCCTCTTGACTGTACAATTTTCATTTTACTAAAAGCCCAGTGAACGGGGGAAATGCAATCTCTATTCAGTCATTTTGGAAGTGAAGCACTTTGCTGTTTTTTGGGGATAAAATGTGAAAAATCGCAAAATAAATTCAGGAAAAAAGTTTTGGAAAGCTGCCGCTGTCGTTTTTGTCACTGTTTGACACATGCTGCCCGTGGGTGTTTTAAAAGAAGCGTTTGTAGTGGCTTCACAACCAAAGTCAACGACCCAAGATGTTTTTTAGATTCCACTTGTCAAGAACTAAGTGGATGTCTTAAGTCTGTTCATTGTCACTGTTGGGTTTCCATTGCTCTATTTAAAGCTTCGCCTCTGGTCGCAGAAACCTGCCGGGCAGCTATCATGTCTTGGAGGGATTTGCTTTGTTTTTCTGTCTAAATGCAGTCCTTCAGCAAACTAAACACCAGATGCATTGTTGAGTTATTAGTGCAAAATGTTATGCTAATGATGTTATTTGATGCAGTTTGGTCACAAAGAAGAGGTCCTGCTGCTTCCATAAAGCAAACTACAAACTCGGGTTCACAACAGAGTAACAAATGGAGTGGCCGACTAAAACGTATTGAACCTGCACCTTTTGGCCAGCCAGGTGTGAAACACAACATTTTCAACCAGTTTGACAAGACTGCCAACAAGGATGAAGGCTGGCAATGGAGGAGGCGGCGGACCAAAGAGACCATCTTATCACAAGCAGAACTGGTTTGTTCCACTTTGGAGTAAGCTGTTGGGGGAAGAATCAGTTTTGTGTTGTGTGTTTCCTTGACTGATGAAGCCTTCTGGATCGAAGGCGAAATGTTTCAGCACAAAAAAAAGAAACTGTCCAGATGACCTGACTGAAAAATGTTGGACAAATCAAGATACATTAATTTTGTCTTTATATATATATATATATATATATATATATATATATATATATACGTGGTTTCTTTTTACATTGAGAAAGTGTAATTTTACTTCTGGTCCACCAATCTGTCCATCCTTCTGCCCATCCATCCTTTCATCCATTCATCCATCTATACATCCATCCATTCTTCCATCCATCTATCAGTCTGTCCATTCATCCTTCCATTCATCCATCTATCCACCCATCCATCCATTCTTCCATCCATCCATCCATCTGTCCATCCATCCATTCATCCATGTCCATTCATCCATC